CACCTATTTTGAACTGCTAATTGCCTACCCCTTAGGTTATGTTTGAAGAGTGATTTAGAATAACAAGAAAGAAAGCTTAGATTACCAACTAATGTGTAGTATGACCCTAACAACCAGATAGAAAGAATGGTGGATACATAGATGGGCAGATAGGTAGATGGATAGATAGATAGATAGATAGATAGAAAATAAGGAGGGAGGGAGGAAAGAAGGAAGGAAGGAAGGAAGGAAGGGAAGGAGGGGAGGAAGGAGAAAGAAAGACTAGGAGCCATATGATATGCAGAAATGTTAACTGAGAAACATAATTCAGAATCGTGGGGTCATTCTAATTTTCTTTTTTTGTTGTTTGTACTTTCTATACATTCTGCAGTAAACTTACATTTCTTTATAAACAGGGAGAAACAAGTATTTTTTAAAGGGGAAGTGTTTCTCCCTGCTGCCACCTGCAGCCAAAAGTGGGAGTGTGTGTGATTGTGTTCAAAGAATTCAAACTCAATGATCCTGACAAACTGGAAAAATGATCAAAACATATATAATAGAGTTCAATACACAGAAGTGTAGGCCAGCAGCCTTTAGAAGAAAAATCAAACAAAAATAACAGAAAATTATTAGCCTCAGAGAAGTGAATAATTTCCTGTGGTTTGCTTTTCAAATGAACGTTTCTATAAATCGATTGTGACTTTTATCCCAAGGCCACTTGAATTTAGAGAATTCAGGACAGGTTTTTATGCATTTCTGCTTGGTTGGTGGGGTTGTGCTTGTGTGTGTCTGTAAGTTTAAACATCTAGAATTCATTTTTCAATTTTTTTTTCAAAACAAGTCCCTTCAGGGTATTATTTCTGGATGATATTCTGTATTGTTCCAGAGGTGATGTGAATATTTAATAATACTTGCGAAAATACAAATCCCCTTTAGAAAAGATGATTACTTAGAAACATGGATCCATCTTCTAGAGGACCAGTGTTTAGTTTTAGTTTAACTATTAACTACAAAGTTTATAAGAAAACATAATACAAATTGAGAAATCATGTGATTATTATCTGTTCTGGGTTGGTGATATTTTCCATGGCTGTGTGTCTTCCTTTCAATTGTCACCTCGAACAGCGCTAATGAGGCAGAGAGAGAAGTTTTTCGTTCTATCACTGAAAGTGGACATCCATCTGTGGTGCAGAAGATCTCAGCATTAAGTGAGAGAAGAGCTACATATATAATAAAAGGCATGCCAGGCCGAGAATCTCGGAATGTTTCATCTCTTTCATAGAACTTTGTAAAAGAGAACAAGTAGAGGAGAATAGAAAGGAGCGGAGGTCATAAGGAAAACTCAGCATGGCTGGCAACAGATGACACAGGAAAGAGCCTTGCCACAAAGACGGCTCAGCAAGGGTCGCCTGCTTTCCTGGAGAAAGCCTTTCCTCCGAAGAAATAGCACTGCCTTTTCATGAACAAATACATAAAAGTGCATTGCAATGGTTGCCTCCCTTGAATAGGGTTCACATGTCAAGGCACACCCGCTGGAGCAGGCCCCCAGCTTTTTTCCTGGGGAGGAGCTACTCATCTGAAGGCAGATCACCCCCCACCACAGCAGGAGGCACTGTCCAGGAACTCCTTAGAGAGCATGGAGCCAGGACACTGGGAAGTATTACAGCCTGGAGAGACGGGCCAGTGAGCCACTGCTCGCCCCAATCTATGCCCCATAGAGGTTGTCAAACGTCCAGGAGCCACATGGCGTGTGCGCGCATGGCAGGTAGAAGAGGGGCATGTGTGGATTTGGATATAGAACTTTACCAAAAGAAATTCCCCCCAAATTTATATGGTAAAGGCCTAACCTCTAATATGATTGTATTTGGAGGAGGGCCTTTAAAGAGGCAATTAATTTTAAATGAAGTCATAAGGATGGGGCCCTAATCCAACAGGACTGGTGTCCTTTTAAGAAAAGGAAGAGACGCCAGGGGCAAGACTGTAAACAGAGGGCAAAGTGAGAAGTCAGCTGTCTGCAAGCAAAGGGAGAGGTTTTGGTTGAAACCAAACCTACCAGTACTTTGATCTTGGACTTCTAGCCTCTGGGACCATGAGAAAGTATATGTCTGTTGGTTAAGCCATGCAGGATGTGGTATTTTGTGATTGTGGCCCTAGGTGACCACGACATGGGGGCGGGAGTGTCCCCATCTTCCTGCTGCTCCGAGGAAGCGACTCTGCTCCCAGGGCTGCTGTCACCTCCTAGTCAGCACAGCAGATGGCAGTGGTGTCCTGCGAGTTTGCACAGCCAGCTAGCCTGTCAGCCTGCGCCTCTGGCTTAGACAACTAAAGGGTCAGAGATGTAAACTTCAAGGTCCAGACTTTCTCATTGGAAAAAAAAAAAATCTTTGCATTAAAGTATATCCATCTATCTATCTCTATCTATCATCTATCTATCTATCTATCTATCTATCAAGCTGGGCTTCACAAAAGTAAATGAGATACTGTTTAAAAGGAGAAATAAGGGGAAAAAATCTCGGGCATTTGGTGTGCCTACAGTCTAACTGTCTCTAGTTCAGTGATGGCTTATTGCTATTTTATGTAGTGAAGTGGGAGAGTTTGCTTACAGAGACTGAACCCTTTCCATAGTTTCCCTGCAGGCTTCTGCTGTTGAAGCTCCCTGGCTACACTTGCTGTTTGGGCTTGAAATAGTAAAACTGAGCTTATAGCTGGCCAGCTTCGTATTGACATCAAGAATACCTTCATTTTCCAGTTGCCAAAATTGGGCCCTTATCTCTACTGTCCATTTTCAGCACAGTTACAGAACTAAAACTCTTCTCTGTTCTTCCCGAGTCTCTTAGGAATGAAAACTTACCTATTTTCGCAAGCACGTGGCTAGCATACCCTCCTGCTACTAAATTGCTATCAGAATGCTTCGCTGCAGACCTATAGCAGGTAAGAACAGACACTTTCCGAGATCCCTTCCCTGTTTACCTATACATTAAACTTCTCCCATAATTCAGGCCTTACCTTCTGAGAAATTAGATAGAAATTAGACAGAAATTTCAGATCTTTTTTACTTGTGAGCATTGGAATTCATGTGTACTAGGCAGGGTCTGTAGGTGAGTATTCAGACAGATGATGAAGGCAAGGATAATACAAGGGAAATATCAATCCAAAGCATTGTACTCAACACTCATCATTTACTCCCATGTCTAAATGATCATAATAAATAAACCTAACTGGACACAGAACTGGCCCAAATGAGCATCTTCTCCAGGATTTTTAGTAGTGCCATGATTATCTAAGGTAAGCATCCGTCTATGTGGACATACAAATAAACAAGTTGTTCATATCTAACCCACCGACTAGATGGTGACTTACTAGAGGTAAAAGCTTGTGTATTACTAATCTTAAAATCTCCAAAGCATGATATAGCACTTGATTTACTGAGGAGTGTTATACAAATGCTCTTTTAGTGAAAGGACCATTATTTCTTTTAACACAATGAATCACAAACTATGTGCTACATATTCCTGATTTTACCATGTATTACTGTGATTGAAAAAGTGTCTCCTCTAAATTAATGGCCTGACACTGCTTCCTCCTTTCTTGTAAGTCACCATCTAGTCATGAAAAACCAACATCTAAACATGTAAGTATAATAAAATTCCATAGAGTGTATCTTGTGGGGAAATAGGAAGGGGACCAGGAAAGGTTTCACAGAGAAAGACACCCTTGAGCATGGGTGATGAATAGATTGAAAGATGAATAGATATTTGTTCAGTAGCTGATGTGAGAGTAAGGTGATCCCAGGCAAAAGATGAAAAAGCGCCATGGCATATACAGCCTGCCATATTGGGGACAGAGCAGCCAGACTAATATGACTGAATTGTATCTGCATTTCCAGAGAAGATTAGAAAAGTGAGCATGAACGAGTCAGTAGAAAAATGGTCATAACAGAGTAAGGAGTCTGGACTTTATTTTGTATAGCGTGATGGCAAATCAATTGGCAGGTAGTTTATGAAAAAAGCATGATGTAATCAGAAATATACTTTAGAAAAATCACATTCATATCAGTGTGAAGGAAAGACTGGTGGGGGGCAAGATTAGGAAAAAGGTTGATTGGAAAGTGAAGAAGAAACACATATCTCTCTTTGGAATTTTCCTCAAATTATCCTGTAACAGAGCAGTGGATCTCATCTTTTCCATCTTGAAATCCCAACCATTATGAATATTTTTGGAAATGAAAAAAAAATATCCCCAACTTTGATTTTTTCCTCAGAGTAAATATAGCTGCATAGGCAAGTACTCATGATAGTACCAAGAGAATAGAATGTTTTTCCAATCCTCCTATTTCAGATCCTTAAGGGGCAAGGAAGGAGTGAAACCTTCCATCTGGCATGTTTAGAAGAGCAAAACACAGTGAAGCCACTTACAGGCTTGTAAGATGGTACCAGGTCTAAACTCTAGAGCTACAAATAGGACTCAATGCTGGGACTCTGACAGAGAGTTATAGCCATTTGGATCAAATTGTAGGAACAAAAAGGAAATATGAGCATTTGGTTTCCTGAAGACACATTTCTTAAATTAGTCTGAAGTCAGTTCTTGAAAAGTTTAGGAACTATTCCAAACTGTTGATTATTGGGATTTTTAGTCCTGGGTGAAACTGATTAGGCATTAATACCTAATAAGGGTTTCTAAAAAGAAAACAGTCAAATTAACCACACTTAAAAATCATTCCTGTCCTCAATTTCCCCTCTTTATTCTCTACTAGAATTGTTATAAGAGAAATAAATCTTTAAAAATGCATTTAGTAAAATTAAAGAATGTTTTTGAAATGTTTTCAAAATGGGTGCTTCTCCATTTTTTCAATATGTTGGATATTTTTACAAAAACACTTTATCACAATGGATACAAAAGGTTTATTCCTTGTTCCAATGTTGTGTTGGGGGATACTGTCTGAGAAGTAAGAAGGCTAGGTAGGAGGCAGTGAAGGAGATGCTTTGAACTTGAAAGAAACAGAATAGAGCTTTAATACTTACAGCTGTCCTCTTCTTCAGTTATACATTTCACAACATAACAGGCGTAGATGAACCCTGCCAGCTGAAACAAAACAAAGATGCTTTAGACAGGAAGCAAAGACAATGGTACTGGACCTCACTGGGTAGTGGCTTAATGGCAGGCAGTGTATAACTAGAGACAATGTTCCAAAATGATGGTTTCTCATACTGAACCTTGACTCCAGTGTGGACTCTTGATTCAAGTGACATCTATTTTCCTTATAAATAAATGCATTGTTCTCTTTGTCTCTGAACTGCATTTATGTGCAAGATTTGTTCATTGCCAGGCAATCTAAAACATGTTATTTTAGGTACAGGGAAAAAAATTATGGTCATTATTAAAGGAATAACATTTGCATTTGTGCCAATCAACTTCTAATTTACTTTCATTAGCCAAGAGCCTTAGATTCTAAAATTGGACTCTCACCGACTAACAGAAAAATGTTTTGAGGGAAAAAATATTAAGATTCAGTGGCATGTTGCATGGAAAAAAAAACACTTATTTAGACCTGTAACAGGAACCAGGGCACACCAAGCACAAGCAGGTTGACATGTTACACAAAGCGATGGCGTGGGTACCTGTAGGTAAGATACGTCGTGATGCACTGAATCCAGGATAGCACAAATCACATCATCCTTTCCAAAACATACTGCAAAAAGGTCTTTATGGTCAAAGAAGTCTTTGCTCACTGAAATTGTTAAGGAACACCTCAAAGTTCTTTGATATCTATTCCCTCAGATTGAGTGGTTTTGTATTCCTTCATATCAGTAGAATATTTAGTGAAATTATGAATGCTGGTAAAAGTATGCAAAACTAATATAATTTCCTAATAGTGGAATTTCCCCCCTCCCCATAATTCTGTTTGGGGGATTCCAGAAAGGATGGAACAGTGATGAAGATTATGCTCAATGATATTTCAGAAAAGCATTGACCTGGCTGAGAACTGAGAGTATATGGTAATATTTGGCATGGGGAAGGGAACATGAGGAAAGGCTGTGGTCTCCCATTAGGAAGCTAAGTCACAGGGCAAAAAGGAGCTGCTGGGAGGAGCCAAATGAAATTGTTTTTCATTAGCTGACAGTGATCTTCCTGGAAGATGTGAGTGGAACACTTTAAGTCAGAGGGCACGCTGATAGGTATTTAATGAGCACAGTATTATCTGGAGAGAAAGAAGGGTCCGGTTAAAAGAGAGACTTTAGAAAATCTATAATTTGGATTTGAGGTAGAAAGGCATATTCTGGCAGACTCTAGCTCTATTCCAAAGCGAACTGGCATAGAATAAGACAGTGGTTATCCTGGCATAGAAGTAGTGACCCGCTTGGAGGAGGAATGGGTGAGGAAGAAGATCCCTGCAACATATTCTTCAAGGGCTTTTGTTTTCAAATGCTGGGTGAGAGGGGATGTATACCCCCACTCCTCCCACCCCCAGATTTAGTATCTGAACCAGTACACATCATGGAGAACTACAGAAGAATACCAATAATATATTAGCAGTAGTTTTCTTTTCTTTCCTTTTTTTTAAAGCATATCTTAGAAAAATCATTGGGGTGCCTGGGTGGCTCAGTCGGTTGAACATCTGACTCTTGACTTCAGCTCGGGTCATCATCTCATGTTTTGTGAGATTGAGCCCTAGTCACACCCTGTGCTGACAGTGTGGAGCCTACTTGTGACTCTCTCTCTCTCTCTCTCTCTCTCTCTCTCTCTCAAAATAGATAACTAAACTTAAAAAAAAAGGAAAATCATCAAATCATCATTTTTCTCTTTAAATGGTATGTTGCAATTGGCAATAAAATAGTGGTAGTAAGAATTGTTTCCTTATATAATAGAATCATCAGGATCGTCATTTTTATAGGCTTATTTTTAGAGTATAGGGTGGTATTAAGAACAGCTTTAGCTTAGATTTTGATTTGACCAAACAAAATCACACAATTTGAACATTTTCATGGGTACTGAAAAAAAAATAGACTATACTAACATTTCTTAATCTTTCATCCAACAGGATCCATGAAAATGCTCTAATCATTGAGTGAGCCAGTCCCATGGGTACTCTGTCACTAGTACTTGGATTTGACTGTGATGAGTTTTGGTTAAATCCCTTGGGTACTGCTTATATAGCTCCTTCCCTTCTTCCACAGGGAGTCCTTATCATCCTTGACTAAATTCTATCCATTTATCAATAGTTTATCTCTTCAGTTTTAAATACTTACTACTTGAATTATCTATAAAGCAACTTTTTCCTAGTCACAAACTTTTCTTTTGATCTTCACTCATCACTTATTACTTCTAAATGAAATTCTAGGTAAAAAGCATTGATAAATTCTGAGATCCAGGGCCAATAAATTTAAGCTTCTCATTAAAGTGTCACTAGATTCTAGATTATTAACTGTACTACTCTCCCAGAATGCAGCCAAGGCCCTGTATTCTGCTTACCAGTGATCTTTTAATTGTATTCAGTTGCATTCTTTAACTATCAGGGGAGCTCCTTTGATATAAAAGTAAATCCTGCTGCATTTCATTACAAAAGCTTGCTGATTAAGAGAACTTTAGCTTTTAAATTGGTCACCTCTAAATACAAATGGAAATTAGTTCCCCCCAAATTAATCAAGATTCATAAGCCTCTGTTATCTTCCAATTTTCCTATACCATATAAATTTATAATTTAATTCTTACTCCATGGCAATTTAAAAAATTTACCTACAGAAAGGGGCTTCAAATCATTTGTAACTCCAAATGCTTCCTATAATGTGCAATACCTATAATTGCTATGTGGGTTACAAAGACAAACTGAGCCAGAGTTTCTCAACCTTGGCACCATTGACATTTGGGCTGGGAAATACTTTTTTGTAAGATCTGTTGTGAATTATAGGATGCTTCTCCAGAAACATCCTACAATCAATCCACTTGACAACTGAGAAAATCCAAAATGTCTGCAGACATTGCCATATGTCCCTTAAAGGATAAAATTGCCCCAAGTTAGAGCCACTGTTTTAGATAGTCTTCCCAGCAGGACCTAGGAAAACTCTGGGAAGATGTAAATTATGTTCAGGGAGGAGCAAACAGCTCCATTCAGAGGAGTTTGGGCAATGGGAAGGGAATAATGGTGCCCAAATCAGGGAACAATGACCCATGTTGTCAAAGTATATCAGAGTACATGGAATTAAAAAAATTATTTGGGTGACCTGGGTGGCTCAGTCAGTTAAGCATCCGCCTTCGGCTCAGGTCCTGATCTCGCAGTTCATGAGTTTGAGCCCCACATCGGGCTGTGTGCTGACAGCTCAGAGCCTGGAGCCTGCTTTGGATTCTGTGTCTCCTCTCTCTGCCCCTCCCTTATTCCCACTCTGTCTGTCTGTCTGTCTCTTAAAGATAAAATAAACATTAAAATTAAAAAATAAAATAAAATCATTTTATTTTATTCTTTACTTAAATATAACTAGAATAACAATGAAAGATACCAGTGGTATTATACTAGGCAAACATACAATTATCCACTTATGTAAAACAAAACAAAACAAAACAAAACAAAACAAAACAAAACAAAACATTCCAGTTGTTTTAGTCTTTGGCATTCAAAGCAGAGCTAAGCCTAAATCTTTTTATTTTTATTCATCTTTTCACCTTGATACATCTAATATGATTTGTTCACTTCTAATTCACCTGATAGGGAATTCATATTATCTTGATATCATTACTGGTTGAAAGGAAATGATATTTTCTCTCTATAACTAATCAGATTAAAATTCTTTTTTGTATCTACAAACCAAATTATGATTGCATGTCCCAGAAATTCACTTAGAAGCTAATAGATAAGAGGAAACCAAAGCCTTTTGGTAAGTACTTAAAAAAAGATTCAATTGTAGTAATTGAAAATGTAACAACCTTAGTTTTTAAAATACTATCTTTTGGATTTCTCTTTCCAGGAAGTTGGAGTACACATAGTTGTCTCTAACCCTAGTGTCACTAAAAGTGCAACTGAAAAAAATAAGACATTTTATATATAACACATATAGGAAGATACTGAAAAGTGGAAAGAATGTAGACTCCTAGAAACTTTGAGACCCAAGGAAAAACATGGGAATGAGTTCCCTATTTTTCTTTCATCTCATATATACCAGATCTGGAGCTGAAGAAGCTCACAACTCAGAAATGCCAGCAGGCACAGATCAAAAAGCCCCAATAAAAGCCTACTTTCTCTAGCCAAATGACCAGGAAAAAGACAGCCTAGTAAGACATAATGTTAAGATGATAATAGCTCTTCTTTGGCCAACATCACGGAAAAAAAACTGTAGTTCCATTCCCCAACCACAGGAACAAAGAGTGGGGGGGGGGATGTCAAGACACCCCCATGCTGCAGTGTCTGAGAAGTCAGGCAGAAAAGTTGGACCTGCATTTTTTTCAGAAAGGAGGAAGACCCTCTCCTTAGTGTCAGTTAGAGACCACGGGGGGAATCTAGCTTCCAACCTCACTCTGTAGTATGGAGGCACATCTCAGGTGGTGTCAGGGAGATCTAGTGGAGAATCAGAATTTTTACCAATGCTGAGAAGTAATGAGGGCAATCCTCTATCTCCATGGTGTCAGACAAAGGCACCTGACAGCAGTAACAAGACATTGCTACCCCTCCCAACCTTGGAGATATTACTGAAGGCCAAGTGGGGGGCAGGAACTTCCACTGCCTCCCAGCCTTAATGAGAAGCCCTTCCCCTTCTGTGGTTTCAAAGGAAGATGAGTGGGGAACTGGACTTCTATCCCACTTGGAAGTGATGAGTATCATCTCTCCTTCACCTGCCAGAGTGGTTTCAGAAGAAACCAGCTAAAACAGGAGGTTTAAGAAAGGTCTAGAGTCTCATAATACCCAAAATGCCCATGTTTCAATGTAAAAGTTCGACATGCTGATAAGGAAGATCTCAAGCTGAATGAAAAAAGGCAATCAGTTGCAGTTAACACAGAGCTGGATGATAGAGATGTTAGAATTATCTGACAAATATTTTAAAGTAGTTTTCATAAAAATGCTTCAACAAGCAATTTATGAACACATTTGAAATAAA